AGATTCATTTTTATAAGTTATAAATGAATTATGGGGGGAAAATGGGGGAAGTCGTGGCCTAATGGTTAGAGAGTCGTATTCATAACCCAAAGGTTGTGGGTTCGAGTCTCGTACCGGCAGGGATTGTAGGTGGGGGGAGTGAATGTACAGCTCTCTCTTCCACCTTCAATACCACGACTGAGGTGCCCTTGAGCAAGGCACCGAACCCCCAACTGCTCCCCGGGCGCCGCAGCATAAATGGCTGCCCACTGCTCCGGGTGTGTGTTCACAGTGTGTGCGCACTTTGGATGGGTAAATGCAGAGCACTAATTCCGAGTATGGGTCACAATACTTGGCCACGTGTCACATCACTCACTTTCACTTTCACAATTATTGTTGGTATGGCTGGCAAGAACTGCTGTTTAACCGAAATATGTATAAATTAAGTATAAATAATTAAAAAAATAAAATAAGTATTTTTTTAACGAAATCTGTTGACTTACTCGCATGTAATGCTCCTAAACTTGGTCGCCACCTACTGGTGTACTGACAGAAAGAGTCACCGAATTTTTTAAGTGAATGGATTCTAAAGATTCGAGTTATTTTAATGAATTAAGTATGGCGTACTCATATATGATGTGTAATAAAGGTAATGAACACAGTCCTATTTATGTCACGCCCGGACATGTCAGATTTGAGAAATCGACTCTCAATTCCCATCCCAACGACTGGGAATTAAAGAATCAAAGAATCGGATTTTTGAGGGATAGACTCATAACCATAGTACTGTCTAAAGCTCCTTTAGAACAGTTTAGTAAAGTTCAGACTTATTTAAAGGGGGGTACAATGCTGTTTCATGCATTCAGAGTTGTTTAGAGTCAGATTCTCATGCTAAGCATGGACAACTTTTCAAAAAACAATTTGGAGGTATGAGTATTTCTGTGCTAAAAAGCTTACTTTCGGGTTCGTACAAGTTTCGGAGAGGTTTTTTCGATCGTGGCTCTTCATGACGTAGACGAGGGTGGAACTCCTTATATGGGCATTTCTCCCGGAAGAATGCGCCTACGCCCGCATCGACCAGAGAGAGCGAGATCGCACCCATCAACGCGCTTCATCCGGCGGCGGCGCTGCACGGGACTCGGGTCTCCAAAGAAGTGTGTGTTTGGTTGTAAGGGAAAGATAACTTTGTTCAGCTTCCTAAAGAACCCAACGTTATGTAAACAGTGGATGCAGTTTGTTTTTCCAGAGCAGCAACAGTTTCACAAGTGTGTTTGTTGACGAATGTTTTATAAGCAAGGCCCAGTTCGATGCTGCATTTGCACATCGTTTGATACTGAAGGACGGAGCGGTCGAGCTACAAAAAAAATCCCGGTTATGATTCAGAACTGCAGACGGTAAGTGAAACTGCATCAAATGTCTGTATTTTGTTGGCAGGCAGCCGGAGCTCAAGTGCTCGTCAATCTTTAGCTCCGCCCACGGCGCGCCTGCAGGAGCTCGGCTTTTTCCGGAGAGAATCGTAAAGCTGTATCTTTCTTTTATAAATATGATCAAACTAAAGACTTTTTGGAGATATAAAGGATGCAGTACTACTCTATAGGTACTCAAAATTGACATGAGATTGGGTGAAACTGTGTGTGTTATCTCCCATTTAAAACGTATAGAGAATACGTGAGTCTCGAAGCCTAGTGAGATTTCTACCTAGGCAGCAGTTTTGTCCAAAATGCTTTCTAGGTAGGAAGCTCGCTATACACCCGCTGATACAAACGTCCACTATTTCATAATTACATCTTCTAAAATAAAAAACCACAACGAAAACCGTTTGTTGTCATTATTTTTTAATACATGTACAGCTTTTCGAAGAAATTGCAAGTACGTTTGATTCAATATTAAGGGGACTGTGGAAATTTAATGTAAGGTTATGTAATAAAGAGAAATTATTTTAAACCGGCGATCCCATATATTAAATTTTATTATATATATATATATATATATATATATTCAGCTCCCAAATGCAAAATGTGTTAGATAAAAAAATATGTTATTATAATCAATCATGGCTGTTTAAACAGATGAGATGTAGGACCATTTATCATAATTAGATCATGCAGATTATATGCAGATTAAAGTGGACAATGTTAGCAGTTCAATATTGTTTTAGGATTACACAGCTTTTCTATTTCCAACCATAAAAAGGTCTATATTTATTGCTAGACTTATTTATAGCAGATTTATGGACACACATTTTACGGCCAGGATATAAGAGCTATAATAAAAATGTATATGAAAAAAATGTATAATTGTTTCAATCATTAGTTCAAAATCCATTAAATAATATACCACACAAGACAACTTATTCAGCAATATATAAATGCTCATAAATCGATCCTAAATGCTATTGTGCCATGGCATATGCAGTATGCAGAAAATAATTACACCCATCTACAAAGAACAGAGTGGATTGAAGTTGCTAAAATAGTCAGGCTCATCTGTAGTGTCTCACTGGCCTTTTAAACGATCAGTCATTTGCAGCACTGCAGCTAAGAGAAGAGGTGTCATCTGTTATGTGGTTGACCAAACCGACAGAGCTGTTCCAAAGCCCTGATGCCGTCTGATCAGGATATTGGAGGTCCGGTGTAGTAAAGTATGGATTCTTTTGATCAGGTTCTCCATCTCTTTCCTCTTACCTTCCACTTTATTAACCGTCAGTTTGATCTCCCCCGGAGCCTGAGAGATTAGTCAAATCACTTACATTTAAATCCAAATCTTACCCTAAAAAGGCCACATGTATGATCTAATTGTGTCAGTTGTGGTTTAGGATGGAGATTGGTACTGTGTGGTTTTACACTTTATTGGAGGATGTCTCTCAAAATGTGAATCCACATGTAGTGCAAAGAATTTAATACAATTTAAGCCCGCTTTTTAAACTGGAAGTCATCCATGAGATAAATACACACACACATATACACATACATAGATACATACATATATGTGACCCTGGACCACAAAACCAGTGAGAAAAAAAGTGTTTATTACGTTTGAAATATGGATATTTATCTTACAAAAATGCATGAATTCGCTACAGTAGGCCTTTATTCAGCCCCCGGAGCCGTGTGAGGGACGTTTTATTACGGATGCACACACTTTATTTCACGTTTTCTGAACTGTTGACAACAAACACCCTCTTACCCCCATTGAAAGGCTTGGAATAGCCAGGACAATTTTTAATATAACTCGGATTGGATTTGTCTGAAAGAAGAAAGTCACATACACCTAGGATGCTTTGAGGGTGAGTAAAATACAGACTAATTTAAATTTTTGGGTGAACTAACCCTTTAAGTCACTGAGGTATATTTGTAGCAATAGCCAAAAATTGTGTATGGGTCAAAATTATTGATTTTACTTTTATGCCAAAAATCATTAGGATATTAAGTAAAGATCATGTTCCATGAAGATATTTTGTTTTGTTTTATATTTATTTCCTACTGTATATTAAACATTTTTGATTAGTAATATGCATTGCTAAGAACTTCATTTGGACAACTTTAAAGGCAATTTTCTCAATATTTAGATTTTTTTTGCACCTTGTTTGCATCTCGGCAAAATATTGTCCTATCATAAACCATACATCAATGGAAAGCTTATTTATTCAGCTTTCAGATGATGTATACATCTTAATTTCGAAAAAAATAATTTTGTAATTTTTCTTTATTAATTTTTATTTCAGGTTTAGTTGTTACTAATGTTGCTTCTGCAATTCAATGAAATGTTTTTGTTTTGTTTTTTTACATTATTCTCAAGTAATTTACTTTTTATGGTTTTAGTTTTGATTTAACTAAAATTACCCTGCTTTCTACAGATTCTCCAGCTGGGAGGGGGGGTTGTGGGTAATGCTTTGAGGGACAGAGGATAAATGTTCTAATCTGTACAAAAATCAATAAATCAATCAATCTTTGCACCAAATCCCATCAGTCCTATAACTTAAAGTCATCCAAATAATTTGCCTGCCTGTTTTACATGACACACTGCCAATGGGAAACACATTTCTGCCTTGTCCTGTCATCGCCACAAGAGTGCAGTGAGCATCCATGCTTTCAACAACTCTGTGTGAAGCAAAAGCTCTTATAGCTACTCCTGTGGGGAAAATACTGATTTATGGACAACACATACAATTCAAAAACCTCTATTTAAAGCAAAAACACTTTCAAATGTGCTTTTGGTGCATATGAGGGTGAAGGTTGCTTTTTAAAGAACATGTTATGGAATGGACTATTTGCTCAAAAAGTGAAAAGAAAAACTCTTGAAAAACTTATTTCAGGATGCTGTTATTTCAACAGCATTTTTATTTGCAAAATAGCGAATATTAGTCAACATCTGTCCCCATCCAATGAAAACCTACATTTAAGGGATGTGAAATTTAAAACCAGTTTAATTGATCATGTTACTATCAGAAAAGACTACCGAGGGCTTCTATATGACATTACATTGTACAAGTTGTCAAATCATGTGTTATGTAACATGGGTATGTGGACCTAGTGCAAAAAGTGTTCGAGAAATTCTTTGGTCCCTTTTAATGGATTCAAAAATGGTTCCCTTTGATCAATAAAAAAAAAAAAAAGCCTATTAATGCAAAATGTTGACCTTTTGCCAAGTTCTCCATTAAAACGGTTCATGATTTGCAGGTGCAGAGGAACCAATTCATCAGCAAATTTCAGGCTCACCACAGTTTTTTCATCATTCCAATCACAGGCAACTCTGACGCACATGACGGCTGTGCTCGGACCAGCACAAGGTTTTTCAGAACTATTCTGAACCTGTAAGGAGGTTCAGACATGCTTGGATTTTTTTTCCCCACTGAATTCACAGCTCTGAGATCAACCACAGGTGTTTGGTCTCAAAATATCTAGCTTTCATAGTCTAGACTACTATTGAACAGACAGTAGGGGGGGGGGGGGGGAAAGAGAAGCACAGCAACATTAACTGCAAGGCACATGACCTTAAAGACCGAAAGAGACTGAATAATGTTCCCAAAATCCCTTTGAATGAAAAATACCCTTAAAAAAGGACCTGTAAATCAACATCTAAAAGTGGTGAAAACTTCAGCAACAATTACAGTTGTACAAATATTTTACACAAAATGCTCTTTTTTTCCTAAAACGCAGTAAAAACAAAAACAAACAAAAAAAAATGTTTGGAGAACATAAATATAGGTAAGTAACGCATTTCATGGTTGACCTTCCTCCTGCTCTAGTTCTCCCAAAGATTTCACATCAGGCCACTCGCAGTCACACTGTGAAAGTGAACATTTAATAGATAAATTAAACAGTTTTAGCAAAATCATGTCAATTAATTAAATAAAAATGAAGCTGTTGTGCTCCTGCTCACCAGGGAGATGGCTTGTTTTAGAAGAGCCCACAGTCCTTAAGGTTGTTTTTGATGATGACATCAGTGACTGCGTCAAAGACAAACTGCACGTTCTTGGTGTCGGTGGCGCAGGTGAAGTGAGAGTAGATCTCCTTGGTGTCCTTCCTCTTATTCAGGTCCTCAAACTGACACTGAATGTAAGCGGCCGCGTCCTCATATGTGCTGGAACCTTGTAGAGAGTTTCATATAATTAATATGGAGAAATACAAATAAAAATAAACTTGAGACAATGTATATTAAGTCTCATATTAATACAAAACTACTACATTTTCTATAATATAGTTTACTTTCTATACTATGTATTAAACTGATTATAAATATTAATAGTATCTCAAAGATATTAAAATACTGATATATACATCTATAATATATACTATTTTAGGCGTGTTATATTAGTATCATCATTATATTTATGTTGTTATTAATATTTTGAATCCGTTTGTTTTTTTCATTTCAATTTTAAAGTTAACAATTTTGTTGTTTTGTCATTTATAGTAGTATTTGTTTTTTTTATGCCTTTTATGCATTTTTATTTCGGTTTTAGTTATTTTAGTATATCAAGTTAAACCAAATTAAAATATATGTTGGTATTTAGCTGTAACATACTATAAAATATTACTATATAAATTGAACTTCAAATAAAGAATACATTTGATTCAAGAATTTAAAGCTGTTCATACCAGTATACTCAGGGAAACAAATAGTAAGCGGGCTTCTTTTTATCTTGTCGTCAAACAGATCCTTCTTGTTGAGAAACAGGATGATGGAAGTATCCGTGAACCACTTGTTGTTGCAGATGCTGTCAAACAGCTTCATACTCTCATGCATTCGGTTCTAAAAGAGGAGAAATAAAGCACTATTTGCGAGGAACCTTAAAAGGCAAAGTTTCTGTTTCATGATAGGCCTGATGCTGACACTGAAAGAGATCTTGTTTGAGCGCTCACCATTTCTTCATCTTCAGCCAGGACGAGATCATAGTCACTGAGAGACACGCAGAAGATGATAGCGGTCACTCCCTCAAAACAGTGGATCCACTTCTTCCTCTCGGATCTCTGGCCGCCCACATCAAACATTCTGAAAGTACAGGAAATGTGGGTGGTGAAACACTCTGGGAGAGTCACACTGAACACAATGACATTTACTAAAAAAATATGGTAAATAATGGTTAAATATATATGATTAAAGGAGTTTGATCAGACAAACTTATCCAATAAAGACTATGATGAAAACAGGGCATAAACAGACGACTCAACTGAAAGCGGGCACATGAGTCATGCACACATCAAACAGTCAGAACACAGTACACACTCTCAGGTTCTGCGCGTCTCAAAAATATGGATTTTGTTTTATTTGTTTCGGTGTGTGCAGTTACAGTTACAATGGCAATACTCACTTGAAGTGAAGATCCTTGAAAGTGAAGTGGGTCTCTACAATACCGGTTGTCTTCACCCTGGTCCTCAGGACATCTTGCTGAGTTGGGACATAGGAAGAACTGGATATTCTGTCTAGGTCATTCAGGTAGCTAGAGAGGGAAATAGAGAGTTCGGTTGATTAAAAAGTTATTCAAAATCTATTTAATAATTTAAGGTGAAATTATTTGAAAAGATTCAGGAAACCAGTTTAAAAATGGGCATTTTTCATCAGTTCTGTTTTGTGACTTTAAATAAAATTAATTATCAAGTGAATTTGATTTAATACAATAATGAATTGAGTTTCTGATCTAGCAGCACTTTGTGTTTTTTTCATATATATATATATATATATATATATATATATATATATATATATCTTTTTTTTTGTTTAAAAAAAC